AATCAAAGCACAGAATCCCCTGCACCTGTGACTGGCTAGGCAGTAGGTATGAGACCCAAGCTGGTCCCATCAGAGGTCCAATCAGAATAAGCTTGAATTAGAATTGGGCCTGGGTGGGGGAGTAGGCCAAGATATTTGTTCTCTCCCCCACTCCCCACCCCACCCCCTGAGCTTGAACTTGGAAGGATGGAAACATGAGAGCCACCTGTTTGAGAATGAAACCAGCAGGAGGCAGAGCCTAGAGGTACAGGACAGTGAGCCCGGCCAGCACCCTTGGAGCCCCTTGATCAAGCTGTATCTGAAGTTGAATTTTCAAACTTGAATCAACACATTTATTTCCTCCAGAAGCGGGTTACATTTGGGGTTTCTTACTTGCAATGGCAGAAGTCCTGACTGACAGGGATGACGGTCCAAAGATTCCTGCAGACAAATGCAGCTTGGGGCCCGGGGAGCAGAGCAGAAACAGGTGAGCGACCACAGGGGTCAGCTGGACACGGTCTCCCCAGTGGCCGGGCAGGTAGCCATAGAAACTGAGAGACTGTGACTCGTCTCTTGGTGCCTCCTGAAAACTGAGCCCGGAAGAGGAAACCTCAGAGACACTCAACTTTAGCTCAGGAGAAGGCACATCTTTCAGACAGCAGCACCAGCAGGGTCGCAGCAGACTGCCCCAGGAGGAGTGAAAGCCCTGTCCCGGGAGGTATGCAAGTGGCGGCCGGCAACCACCTGGCCCCCAGTTCCCAGAGAGGGCTCAGGCACCGTGCAGGACTAGAGTACACGCACACGAGGCGGCAAGCACTGACTGCAGTGGCAGGGGGGTGGCGTATCGGGTCCTGGGGGTCCTCTTCTTTCCCTTGGGAAGGTAGGCGCAGGAGGGGTTGGGGCGCAGGGCCTGCAAATTCACACCAGTCTCCAGCACAGAGAAAACATCGACAAGCTCTGTAGCCAGTGAGGCCAAGCCGGGCTGCCATCGGGCCTTGGGGAGGGCCCTGAAGGGTCAGAGCCATCGGCTGGGAGGATGGGGTGCAACCTGGAAGAGAGATGGATAGGGGTGAGGATCTGGGGGACAGACAGAACCCACAGCTTCATGCTGGCTTTCCTCATTCATCCCCATCTTCAGTCCTATGTCCAAGTGTCCCCACCATCCCCCCTAGCCAGAACCACTTACCCTTCCTCCTCCCTACTACCCAGCCCAGCCCAGCCACCTCTGGGCTGTTCAGACTGCCTGAGCCACCTCTCCCTCTCCGGCCCTTACACATGTGGGCGGCCAGTCCTTCAGTCTCCCTGGGGCGAGGGGTCAGGACACCTTTCCCATCCCTTGTCCTCCCCTGCTGACACACCCAGGGACTGGCAGTGTGCGTTCTCGGTGACACAGGGCACCTTGCAGGCCCACACCCTTCCCGAGGCCTTGGGCGTGGCTTCTGGGACACGGGCTCCACAGAGTGGGATTGGTTCTGGTTGGGGAAACCGGGGTCACCTGGTATGGCTCCCTCCCTGGCCCCCAGTGAAACAGCAGGTTGCTGTCAGAGACTGAGTGTCCCCTCCCAATGGGAGCTAGTGGTGGTGGGTGGTGAGGGTCTTACCCCTAGAGGATGCTGCAGCCCCGCTTCTGTGTCCGAGTGGGCTGGGGGCACAGGACGGCCCGGATCGCCTCGTCAAAGACAGTTTTCAGGCCCCGCTGAGTGAGAGCGGAGCACTCCAGGTATTTCACGGAGTCTAGGGGGGGGCAGCAGGTGAGCAGAGGTCAGGGGAGGGGCTTGGGCACAGCAGGCCCAGGCTGTGGGCTTGCCAGCAGGGTGCAGTGCTGACAGCACCACCTGGGGACTGGGCCACACGCCTCCCTCTCTGTGCCTTATCTCCTCACATCTAAAGGAACCCACTGCCAGTGAGTTCAGGGGCGATAAGACCCCACCGGCCTGGGACATGTGGCCAAAACCCAAGCCCACCACCAGGGGGTCTCCCCGTGTGCACAGGGTCCAAGTGCCCCCTGAGGCTTTCTCTGCCATCCTCGCTCTAGAAGCTGGTCTGCAGGTCTTTCTTCCTCAGCACCCCTGGCCTGACCCTTAGCAGCGGAGACCAGATTGTTTGTGCCAAGTGGGAACCCAGCAGCCTTGGCCTCAGGACCTGCCAGCCATCACCTCCCCAAACCTTAGCCGCCTCTCTGTTTTGCAGGGGAGCAAACTGAGGCTCGGAGACTAGTGTACCCAAGGTCACACTTGGGCGTTGCCCTTCCACCTGGGGACATGAGGGCCTCAGGGAGGGAAGTGGGCCTTCTCCATCCCCACCTGCACCCCGTGACCACCCAAGCAGTGGAAGGCGGGCTGCGCTGCACCCCAGGGGCAGCTGTTGCTGTCAGGGGCCATCGAGTCCGTACACTACCCAGTCCTGCGCCATCCTCACAAGTGTGCCCACGGATGCAGCCACGGGGTCAGTCCATCTCAGTCCATCTCGTTAAGGGCCTTCCTCTACTTCCCTGCCCTCCACGTTGCCAAGCCTGATGCCTCTCCTGATAACCGTGTCCAACGTCTGTCAGACGGAATCTCGCTGTCCTTAGAAAGACTCCTTCCTGCCATGTGCACCCGGGCAGCCCCTGCTGCCTCGGGTTTCCATGACATTCTGGAAGGCGCCTGGTGACTTCCCCGTGCCCACTACAGCCCAAAGTTTCCCTGAAGTGAGGAACCGCAAAACCCCTTCTGCCAAGAAGCCTGGGGTGATTTTAGACACAAGAGGAAGGGAAGGGGGAGGGAGGATGCTGGGTCTGCCCCTGTAGCCACTCTCAGCGGGGGCAGCGGGGAGCTCGTAAAGTGCAGGGCACTGAGACTGAGCTGGTGCTTCCAGGAACTCTGCAGAAGCACTGTGACTCCCTGTGCTCCTGATAGGGAGGTAGGCCTAGGGACAGGGAGCCACAGCCACAAGTCACACAGCCTGGAAAGGGGAGGCCCACGGATGCCCTGAGGCAGTGAGGCAGGACTGGGTTGCACAGGGCAGGACAGAGGCCCCAGGGGCTGCCGGGCAGCACCTCCTGTGAGCCTGTGTGCAGAGGAGGGTGCCACTGGGTCCTGGGCCACTGTCTCCCTTCTAGGACCATAAGCCACGCCCACCTCACTGACAACCTCCCCTCCCCTCGCCCCTGTGGCTCAGTGACATCTAGAGCAAGGTCTTGGGTGGGTGCCTGGGTCCCCTTCAGCTCCGCCTATGGCCCTCTCGGGGACTTGGGCCAGTCAGTCATCTCTGGATCGGTCCCTCGATCTGTCCAGGACATGTTGCCATGTGATGGCTGAGTCAGGGCACATGGACGGTTGGGGGGCAGGGGGGAGTTATGCACAGAGGGTGTGGGGCAGGCCAGGGCCAGCCGATGGCCCTGATGTTGCCGAACTGAGGGATTCCGGTGGCCCAGGCTCACATCCTGCCTGTACGGCCTTAGGTCAAGGCCTAGTCCTTGGGTCTCAGTGGCCCCATCTGTAAAGCGGAGGTTGGTTTAAAATTGCAACGAGGGTGCACCAGGTAAGCAGCCCAATGGGTAGTCAGTCCACTATGCCACTTCCTACGCCACCTGGGCTGAAGCTGAATTCCCTTGTTCCCCTTCTCACTGGCTTCCCGGTCCATTCCTCTCAGCCTCCAGAAGCAGGGGCCCGAAAGTGAAGTGGCTTTTCAAGGAGGCGGCAGATTCGGGATTTGCACCCAGGACATCGACCTTGTGCTTAAGGCTGGGGCCTCCTGGTCATGGCCCAGGGCTGCCTGCCCAGGGGGCTGAATGACAGATAGGCCTGCCTCTCCCTTGGGGCTGAGACTGCCCTCTCTGCCCAATGACCCAGGGAGGAAGGGGCTGGGGGGAGAGTGGGGAGGTTTGCCTGGAGCCACCAGTGATTGACAGCCAGGGGACCGTACCTCACTGCAGGGCCCTGGAGAGCCAGAATTTGACCCCGAATCAGGCAGGTTCCCCACCTTCCCTGTCTCTGCCTGCTCCCTCTTCCTCCCACCGGAACTGGGAGGGTCCGGTGACTGACATCTCTTCACAGGAAGAGAAACCACAGTCACCTCCCTGCTTCCTGTGACCAGCACTGTGACCCAGCCACCGTCCCCAGGAGGCCCCCCGCTTTGCTCTCAAACACCAGGGGTCCCACGTCTGCCTTCTGTCCTTTCCCACCAGTCCATGCCCAGGGACATCTTCCCCAGGACAGGGTCTCCCCAGACAGCCACCCTGCTGATACTCATCTGGCCTTTGAGAACATGCCCTTTGGATAAGATGGGACAGGGGAGCTTGGATGGCCTCCGGCTCTGTCCATGACTGGCTGTGTGGGCTTGGGCCAGGGGCTTCTCCTTGCTGCACCCCCATCTCCCCATTGGCACAAACCTGAGTAGTAGCCATAGGATTTTGAACGACCTTCCAACCAGCCCATGCCAAGGTAGAGGCCCAGGGGACCTGCTGGGCTGATGACGTTGGCAGCAGCTGCCTGTCTCCCAGCTCCTCCCCAGCCCTGGGATGTGGGGCAGCTCCTGTCCCTAGCTGTTGACCATGGCTGATGTGTGTTGAGCACTTCCTGGGTGCCAGGCCCCTGCATGCTCCCTACTCTTGCTATAAGGGAGGGACTCTCTCCATATCCACTCTGTGGATGAGTCGGTTCTGTCTCATAGCAACCGAGCCTGGTCCTGCCCCAGCCTCGCAATCGCTGCGAGTCTTGAACCGACTGCTGCAGCCACGGTGGCAGTCCCTCTCGGGGAGGGTCTTTTTCGCCAGCCCTACACTTTCCCAAGCGCGGCGTCCTTCTCCCGGCGAGCCCGGCCACACGGCCGAAGTACGTGCAATGAAGTCTCACCAGCCTTGCTTCTAATGAGCATGCCGGCTGTGTTTCTTCCAAGACAGATTCGTTTGGTCTTCTGGTAGGACGGGGTGCAGTCGGTATTCTTGGCCTACCCCCTCATTTAGATACATCAAGCTCCTTGTTCGGTGGTGAAGCTCGCGTGAATAAGCGGCGGTTAGAAACACCCTGGTTTGGGTCAGCAGCGCCTTGGCCTTCCAAGGAACATCTTTGCTTTCCAACACTTTAAAGTGGTCTTAGCGACAACCAGGTTGGCCCAGCGTCATGTGTCACTGGATCTCCTGTGGTGGAGCCGCGTAGAACCGAGTCCCCGACTTCCCACGGTTCTGTTTAGCCTGCTGTCCCCGAAGGGTGAGGACTTTTCTTTACGTTGACGTGTTGTGCACACGGACCTGGCTCTAGCCCTTGAGCTTCTTTGGGAAGTCTGTGTCATCTCATGAGTTGAGGACAGCCTTCCTTGGATCCTGATTCGAGCCTTGTTCCTCCTCCTCCTCCTCCTCCTCCTACACACGGTCAGCAGTTTGAAACCACCAGGTGGTCCCTGGGAGAAAGTTGAGGCTTTCTACTCCGGGAAGGAGTCACAGTCTTGGAAACCCACAGGGGCGGTTCTACTCTGTTTTATATGCGTTGGAGTGCACTCGATGGCAATGAGATTAGGTTAGGTTGGGTTTTTAAAATCCAACAGGTCACCTCCTCCAGGAAGCCTTCCAGGAGAATCCACGCTCAACTCTGCCTTGTCCTCTGGGCAGCCACGGCACCCCCACTCGACCCCCGTTTCCTCCTGGCTTCCTTTCCCACCCCTGGACACGGCAGCAGGGACAAGCGCCATCACAGTGGCAGCTGACAGCGAACACCTCAGCCTCTGCTCTACAGGCCAGTGACACTGACCCACTGCCCTCTCCCAAGGGTCTCGGGACTGACGCACACCGTGAGGAAACGGGCACAGAGAGGGTGAGCGAGTGACTCGCCCAGAGTCACAGCGAGGGTGTGGCCTGGCTCGGATCTGCACCGAAGTCCTGGCCCAACAACGTCCCAGCGGGGCCCATCCAGCCCACCCCAAGCACCCCACCCCCACCCCCACACACAGAGTCCGAGCCCAAGCCCAGTACCAATCTCCTTGGCCAGGGCCAGGCCCTGCGGGTAGGTGATGGGCGCCAGCTTCTTCTCCTTCAGCTTCTCGATGGTGTCCTTGTCGTCCCGCAGGTCCAGCTTGGTGCCCACCAGGATGATGGGGGTGCTGGGGCAGTGGTGCCGCACCTCAGGGAACCACTGGGCAGGGGAGCAGTGAGGAGGGGCCGTGGGACCAGGCAAGAGGAGGGAGATTGAAGGCAAGTGAGGGTTTTGGGAGATGAGAGGGAATGGGAGGCCCAGCGGGAGGGTGGGGGGAGATACCAGAGGCAGGAGCATGTGCACGGGGAGAGGGAACCGGCTGTTTATCCCACCTCCTCACGCTGAAGTCCCTGGTCCCTCCCTCCTTCAGGGTCCCCTGCCCACCCTAGTCACCAGCACCTCTATGCTGCCCAGCTCACCTTGGCTCGGACGTTTTCATACGAGGCGGGGCTGACCAGGGAGAAGCAGATGAGGAACACATCCTGTGGTGACAGGGCAGTGGGTGCCATGAGGGGGAGCCCAGGAGGCATCTGGCCCAAGCCCCTCCCACACCAGGGTAGCCACCAGGGATGGAGCCTCCCAGGGGGACACTGGGGGCAGAGAGTCTGCACAGAACAGGGATGTTCCCCAGCTGCTGTTCAAATTTTAATCTGACACCATGCCCTCCGGTACGTGCTAACCCCCCAGACAGGGTCCTGCAGGAAGTACTGCTCCTGCCGTATTGTCTAGGTGTGGGGAAAGTGAGGCTACAAGGTTCAGAGGACCGGCCTGGCCCAGATGCTGCCTAGTCAGAGAGGGGCTGGGATTCCAGAGCTCACACTCCTAACCCTGACAGGGAGCCCTGCTGGCTAGTGGGCTGTGTGTTGGGCCTCCAGGTGCAAGGTCGGAAGTTGGAAACCACCGGCCACTCCATGGGAGGAAGATGAGGCTGTCCACTCCTGTAGCAAGTTATAGCGGAGCCGTGGTGGCCAGTGGCTTATGTCTCGTTGACCACACGTTCAGCCATTTGAAGCCACCAGTCACTTCTAAGGAGAGAGAGAAAGCGTTCTGCTCCCCTAAAGAGTTACAGTCTGGGAAGCCCACGGGGGCAGTTCTACCCTGCCCTATAGGGTCGCCACGAGTCGGCATCGAGGTCAGAACCACGGCCTGGCCTCCCCAGCAGAAGGGGCTGGGAGAGCAGCGCGATGGGGGAGGGGGAGGAGCGGGGTCAGCCTACCGTCTGGGGGTAGGAGAGCGGCCGAAGGCGGTCGTAGTCCTCTTGCCCCGCCGTGTCCCACAGGCCCAGGTTCACCGGCTTGCTGTCCACCATCACATTGGCTGAGTAGTTGTCAAACCTGTGGGGAGCAGGCAGGCCACAGGTGGGGTCAGACTCACGCTCCGCAGCCCCGGCCCACCAGGTCCATGGAAGAGCATGGGCCCAGAGAGGGGCAGTCACGGGACCCCAGTCACACAGCACTGCGAGGCAGCGTCTTCTGTCACGTCTTCATGACATAAAAAGGTTAACTGCAGGGAACGCTATGTTTAAAAAAAA